CCCACAGAGGGCCAACGCCTAGAATTCAGGTGTGGTGCTATCCGGCATCACCAGTCAATCCATGCGAATGTGACAACGACTCACAATTCTCTGCAGCACAATTTTCCAAAGTATGGGCCATAGGCCCCTTGCACCAACATCTGCAGGGGAGCTTGATAAAAATGCAAATTCCTGGCCCTCTGACACACCTGTGCAATCAGACCCACCAAGTTTAAATGCAATGGCTTACAAAGTTACCAGCCCCGGATTACACTCCAACATGGAAACAGAATGCCGTAGGTTTCCAGAGCAGTCTTTAGTGGGGGAAAGTTGGGGCCCTTGAGCAGACTTCCTGGTGCTTCGGAAATCATACCCTGCAGGTGTTTCTGACCCTGTGTATTTATAGAGCCAACTCTGTTCCTAGGTACTTACTTCCCCTGGAACATCTTAAATGTTGTTGGAATCATCGCTGTGAATGTCACAGGAGACCATTTCTGTGGATACCCGATGAGACAGAGTGTTTTGGAAAGGTCAGTTTGATTCACTCTTGAGCACAGTAATAACCTGGCTTTCTGTCAAGGCGGTGGGGGACGGGGGAGTTTTGGTTCTTGTTTCTGGGGATGGGTAGCCCAGGATAAAAGCTGATCACCAGCTGCCACTTCCTTTGTATCAACTGGACACTTGCTGCCCGGTTAGCAGTGTTATAACAGGGTGGGGGGCAAAGATGACCCCTTCCTCCAAAGCTGTGAGCTCGGATCTAGAGAGAGGTGGGCTCTGGACTCAAACAGGTTCCACAGGCTTCCTCTAGACAACACGAGCTGCACAAGCTGGCTTTTCGGAAGGAACATGTGACTGAGGGTCACTCTCTAGAGAGACAAACCTTTCAGACTTAGACACACAATAGTGGCAGCAGCTTCCGCATTATTTTGACTGGCTCCTATAGCTCTTGGAATAAGAGGGTTCACTTTGGCTTCTGGGGGGTAGGGGTCTCTGCACTGTAGAACTACAGGGGTGTCCAAGACATACTGGGGGCTGCAGAGAGAATTTACAATAAAGACTCACATCAGCTTCAAAGTACCCCAAAAAATGAGCATACAAATGCTACAAAGATTGTTGTTGCTACCTTAATTCTTTTCTGTGGGAGATAAATATCGATAAAATAAAAACAAAGCAGGTCATTGTATAGCAAATGTCACTGTCTTAACTGGCCTGCTGGTTGACCCCTACAAGTCAAGGGTAGGGCCGTGTGGAGCTGGTTTCAACCTCCTTCCTTCAAGGGGGGCTGCGTCCCTACATGGGGAACTGTAGTAAAGAGCTCCCCTCCACAAAGCATCATGTGCACCCGTCCCAGTCTGTTCTTTCCCGTTTTGTTTTTTAGGGACAAGGGGATTCAGCCGACTCCACGGGAGGTGGCTCCCGTCCCTAATTTACTGTTCCATTCCTAAGGCTTCACCCTCCTGGGCTCAGTGTGAGCAGACAGGAGCACAGGAGGCTAAAACCACCATGGAGATTCAAGTTCACAGTCACAGAGCTGCCCCTCCACTGGGCCAGAGGCAAAGAAAAATCCCAGCCTCTTTCTTGTGCTCATCTGGTTTTATTGAGCCTGGAAAGGAAGTAAATTCCAAAGGCAGGAAATGACCCAGAGACCATAACAACATGTGAAAAGCCAAGCCGGTGCTTCCGTCACTTTGTTTCAAACTATTCTAATCTGTGTCCCGGGAAGCCTAACCCATTACCAGATGGAGATCTGTTTTCAGTCGCCTCTTGGCATCTGCCACTCCCGGCTGGTGACATTTGCACGTTTCAGAAGGCAGACCTGTGCCGACATCTTCAAACTTCCGGAGAGGTGCAGCCCCAGGAAAGTCCTTGGGTCTCTGGCTGACAGCACCAGCCATCTGACGGGCTTCGTCTGCAGCCGAACTGCTGCTGGCCTCCAGCCTAGAACACTAGCACACCGTGTCTGTTCTTGAAGATTTGCAGAATCTGAAATCAAAATGCCCCATGTTGCCAGAAAAGGCAGGCTCCCTCCCTAATCCCTTCTCACCAGGCTTTCCTAGCCCGATGAGTCAGGAAGGAAAGAAATGTGTCTGAAGATCTGGGGGTGGCCTGGTTTCTCTTCTTCTAAAAATGTCCTCCCATTTTCCAATGTGTGTAATGGTTAGGGATGCGGTTGTACTTTTTCTCTGATCCTTCCTCTATCAGCTCTCACTTGGAGAGACCCTTCATTTACCACTCATGAAATCAGCTCTGCAAAAGCACCAGGCCCTCTGATGAGGAATTAGTCACTCACTGTTGCAAAGAAGTTCTGACTTCACTTCTATCCCCAGGAGCAAGGCAAGAAAAAACTCCTACCTCTTCTCTCAGAAGGCACCATCATTCAGCTGCTTTGTTCTGGTCCCTGGGGGCCTGTATTTTCCTAGGCTTTTAATTTTTCCTGAACACCGAGCATTAGCCTTCCCATGAAGGCTGTGTGCCAGCTGGATTCTAAACACAGCCATCGAAGTGGCTTCTGGGATACCTGTTCCAAACAGGTACCCTGTTAAGAACTCCCCTCCCCCAGGTAATCAGAAAGTAGAAAGTAGCTATAGTTGAATGAATAATTCGCCTAACTCTTTCAACACTTTCAAATGTTAAACAGATTAAAGTATAAAGAATCCGATATATTTGTTGACATCTGGTTCACAGAAAAGCTTCAGCAAGAAAGAAGTGGGAAGTTCCACATCAAGCTGGGGAAATGGGAACAGCGGTGGAGGGCTGCCATCAGATCCCTGTCCCTGTGCGCAAAACCACTCTAGGCCACTGTCTACAATTATGTTCTGTTTGTTAGGAAAGAGGTTTTAAAAAGTATGTTCTGCCCAGCCATGGTGGCTCATTGGTTGAGTGTGGACCTATGAACCAGGAAGTCACGGTTTGATTCCCCCTTGGGGTACATGTGCCTGGGTTTTGGGCTCCATCCTCAATGTGGGGTGTGCAGGAGGCAGCCAATCAATGATTCTCTCTCATCATTGATGTTTCTATCTCTCTTTCCCTCTCCCTTCATCTCTCTGAAATCAATAAAAACATATTTTTAGGAAATGTTCTGATAAGCTTGGATTTCTCCATGGAAAGGGAATATAGTCTCCATTACAAGACAGCAGGTTGATATCAGAGGCAGGTTGTATCCACTGTGGGTAGCTGGCAGTAGATAGAAGATAAAAGAAGCTAAGAGATCTTCATAAAAAGGGAGGGGAGAGAGAGAGTGAGCGAGCCATTTTTGTTATTGCTGGGAAGAGACGGTCTTGTAGAAGATATAAGAGATGTATGTGTCTATCTCTCCCCTTTGCTCTGCCTATGGAAAATGAGCCAGGAAAAAGCTAGAAACAGGAGACAGAGGGAGGCCGTCTTCCCAACTGTTGACAGCAGCCAAACAGGATAAATGGTTCATATTTTGATGATCTTGACAACAGTAATAATGAAGAGAAGGTATTGACCCAGATGAAAGAAATAGGCTTTTAATTTCAAGCTATGCTTAAGCCCCAACGTGCCCCTATTGGAGCCACTTACATTATCCAAGGGACTTTTGACTACAATGACAGGAATTTAGGGTAAATGAAATCATACAATTTAATAGAAAAATCAGGATTAGATTAAGATGTGATTGAGAATGATTAAAAATTAGTGGGAAAGGTACAAAATTATACATATTTTTGTACTGCTCTCAGTCTTGATCTAATTGTTAGAAAATGAACATAGTTGAAAACGGTATTCTTATTTAAATATATAACAGAGTCACAGATTTTGTTATTCTCTCTGGAGGCACATATTTGGGATGACTGGCCATTGGGGGTCTTCCAGTCTTTGCTAACCTTCACCATAGACAAAGAACAGAGGAGGGAAGAACACAGCTTCTTGAGTGTTAATCACACAAATGAGGGATCAGAATCAAAAATAGAAAAAGAATAGAACTATGAGTCCTCAACTATGCTCCAAGTACCCAGGATACCATAGCAAACTCCTAGGGGCGCTGTGGCATATGTTAAATGTCAAGGAGTACATGGTAATACTTGACATCTGTTGGATGCCAGGTGAATGAACTACTAGGTCAAGATGATTCATAGTTTCAACATTAGATTGCTCTCCATTCCTTTCAAAGATGTCTTATCTTTGAGAAGTGGGTTTTCAGCTGTTATAAAATGCAAGTACCGACTGAAAATCAGTGTGGAGCAAGATGTGCAGGTGGTGGTGTCTTCACAGTTTCCAAGATTTGAGATGATGTTCAGCTTACACACCCTTTTATAAGCAACTGTGGTTAAGAATAAAATTAAAATATTTGTCTTTCAATTTATGTATATTGGGGTTTTTTCAAACAGCTAAGTTATTAGGACCTAACTGTTGCATACATATTTATGTTAGGTATTTCTTGTGGCCTAGGGGCTCTGTGAAAAAATTAGTGAGACATGAAGATGCTGTGAATTGAGAAAGTTTGGGAACCTCTGAATTAGAGCAATACAAACTGTATCAATGGGCAAAGGTAGATTTTAATGGCTTAGGCCAGTGATGGCGAACCTTTTGAGCTCGGCGTGTCAGCATTTTGAAAAACCCTAACTTAACTCTGGTGCCGGGTCACATATAGAAATTTTTTGATATTTGCAACCATAGTAAAACAAAGACTTATATTTTTGATATTTATTTTATATATTTAAATGCCATTTAACAAAGAAAAATCAACCAAAAAAATGAGTTCGCGTGTCGCCATCACTGGCTTAGGCTCATTGTTGAGATTAAAAAAGTGATTCTATCCTTTCCCCTTTTAGCCAGGCCACTGCTCCAGTATTTTACCCTGTTCCCACATGAAATGAGCATTCTCGGTCTGAATGTTTTTTTAATTAATGCAACTATTTTATTTATTTATTTATTTATTTA